TAGATTAGGTAAAATAAATCATAATAATAATAATATAATTAAAATGGTTCACGAGGCATGCACGCGAGCGGCTTGTGGTTAATGTAAATCGATAGCATAATGTGAGCTACACGTTCCCCGAGTGATTTACAACTTATAATGGTGCGGATAGCAGTTTGACACAGTTCAAAGGGCAATAAAACAATAAAATTTAATTATAAATAGATGTACAATGTTACAAACTTAGAGCCACTTAGGATGGATGAATGTAGTTTCATGTTACAATTTGAAGTCATTCTAGGAAGAAAAGAAGGTTAATTTAGGTTTATTTCGATTTTTTTATGTTGGTGGTTATGAGCTCGGTTGAATTGACCAATTCCATTTTGAGATAGGGTAGAGAAAATAACATATAAACTATAAGTAAAAAAAAAACGTTTGGAATGCATTTAGGAGGTTTTAGGGACTACACAAAGGAAATTTGAAATTTTTGAGATGACAAAAATTATTTTTTATTTTAACATGAAAATTACTTTGCACACAGACTATTTAAAACAAATACTCAATATATTTATGGACAAATCTTTTTTTATTTTATTAAAAATACTTCACTAAGAAATGTGACTTTTTGTATGTGAAAGACTTCTAATATTAACTGAAAGACTGCCAATTTCGTGAAGATATACCAAATATATATAGTTATAAGTATTAAACTTATAAAGACTTTTAAACGAGTACAAAAGTTCATTTGACTCAGTCAAATTGACTAATCCTGTGTTGAGAGAGTTAATCAAAGTTCTAATTATTAGTGTTTCCAATTATTACTGTTTCTTACTATTCTAGTAATCAATTAATCAAAATTATGATAAATCGACTGTCACAAAAATAATTAACTAATCAATAATAGGATTTCTGATTATTCCACCTATCCATGTAATCAAATTATTGATATTATGTTTGTTTGTTGTTAAGGGCAAAGCTACATAAAATGCTTTCTGTTTCTTTTACTTCAAATTTGTTCAGCTTCGGTGATTTCAAGGGGGGGGGGGAGAATTCATAATTTGAGGAACTTCGGTTTGATTCCCATTTTCACTAAACCTTTTCACCCTGTTTTTGTTATGAAAAAATAAGTAAGGCTATCTTCCATTGCTAATAATTTTGAACTGCTCACTAGAGGGAAGACAACTGGCTAGTAGGACCTACTTCTTCTTTTTTTTATTATTATACAGCATCAGTTGACAAACACTGTACTAATCCATTATTGGGGTCATTGATTAATCAATTAGCAAATACTGCTAACTGTCCAGCTTTATTTGTGACACAATACCACACACATTAGTATGTATAATACTATATGAAAATAAAATTCTCTGAAGGATTTGCTTTTTTGTTACACAGTAGTATTCTTTTACAACTTACAAGACATGTATAAATCTGATAAGTTTAAAGCAACAATACACAGGTTTATTTTCACTGATTTACCTACTTTCTAGTATTACGTAATTTTTCAGAGCTTTCCAAATGTATTTTTAGTTTTGTTATGTCAAACATCACACACATACAATGAAAGGGAAATATAATTTTTAATTAACTCTAATGATTATATTGATAACAAATCATACCCATATTTAACTCTTTGAAAACTGTGCTTTTCAATCTTTCTTTCCATGCTTCTTCACAATAATAGCTTGAAGATAACAAATGTCGTAAGCCTACAAAAATATGGGGAAAAAACATTACCAACAAAACTAATTCAATATTGTACTATAAATAGCATTATTATAAGAATGAAATAAAAAAAATGAAATTATAATATAAAGTATCACATAGCAAGAAATAAGTACATTCAATCACTATTTTTACAACAAAATTGGAATAATTCCCAGTAGTAAAAATGGAATGAAGCTGTTTACATGCAAATGGTGTATAATTTAGAAAATAACAGTTTAACATTTAGTGATTATATTGTACACCACCAACTCTTCAGAAAAGTAAGTATCTAAAACTACCCTGTATTTTTCAAGAAATCATTTCCCTCTTAAACTCTTGTAAAGTGCTGGTCTCAACTAATAATGACAGCAACATATTATACAAGTCAATCACTTTGTTAGAAAATATAACTTTCTTAACTTGGACCTATCTTGTCTTTTCCAAATATTGAGGGATGGCCAGAGAGGAAGCAAAAGAGGTTGGCACTCCTGAAGATAATGAAGGAGTGAAAACTAAGGCTGATCAGGCCAGTATGGCACAACAAGAAGAACTCAACAGGACGAGGAACAAATCACTGCAAGAACCTTGGATAACAGATGAATCAGAAGGAATGTGTAAAGTTGAAGACCCATCCAATCCTGGCTGACAGCATCTATGCCTGAGGGTGAGGGACAGGATAACAGAAGGACAGGAGACGGGAATTCTAATAAGTATAATAAGCATCGATGTGAGACATCCCAAGACAAGAACAAATCTAACGAAAAACTTGTGTTGGGGCGAGATAGCTGATCAGCCACTAAATTTATAACACCTGGAACATGACAAGCAAGGCGAACAATCTGATCATTGTGGGCTCAAAAGAGAAGATCCAATGTCTGAAAACAAAAAGATCTGGAGTGAGCAAACCCTTGGTTCAAAATATAGGAGATTACAGTGGAATTGTGAGTGAAGCATTATCACCTTCCCTTGCAACAATTCAAAAGGCAGAGACATAGCTCACTGAACTGCTAGAAGCTCTAAAAGATTAATGTGGGGAGAAGATTCCTCTTCTGTCCAGAGGCCCTTGAATTCCATATCCCCTACACAAGCTCTCTATCCCTGGAGAGAAACATCTATTAAAAGATGTATCTCTGGATGTTGGGGTGGAAGAGGGACACCTGCTGTTGTGTTGTCCTTGTTCAACCACCAGCAAAGATCGAGCAGACAATCCAGCAAATGTTCCATTGGTCCTGTAATGACCACTAAAGGGAACATATGTGGGCCCAACCCAAAGGAATGAGTGATTCCA